AAAGCAAAAGACAAGTGGTAGTAGGTAGTTTGAGTCTTCCACGACCCCGTTTTCTGTTTATCACTCCCAAGTTGGCAAGGCGACAGGTGCACACATAGACGTATACAAATGTCTGTGGGCGCGCACCCTAAACACTCATACTGTGGCCGACAACTAGGGGGCTTCACTCACATGCAGATGTCAGGATGTTGTTTTTAAAAATATGTAGAAAAAATTACATATGCAAACTGTATTTTTTTAATCAGAGCTTAAAAGTATGTTATTCAAAGTGTTTAGCATAATTTTGCTGTTGTTTATGTGTAAAGCTATAATAAATGTATATTTATACCATTTAAAAACAGCCTCTGTTTTACACAATGTGGTGGGTTGCCAGTTGGGCTTGTTTTCATAGAGCTGGTTGCTTGTTTCTATCGCAAGATCTGGCAACACTGGACCATCTTATCACCAGCAAACTGGTTGACCCACTGTAAGAGTATACTGCTTAGTGGGGAAAACAGTTTACTTGGGACTCCTCAGATTGATGAAGCCCTCCGGATAGAGGGCAAAACATCTTTTCACAAAAATGATACTGTCCAGATGACCTGACTGACCATTATTGCATCAGATATCTAGTTTTGAACTGCATGTGCAATAGGTGTTTCCTATAGATTGTAAAATTTCTATACTGAACAATAGCCACACTTAGTATAGTCCATTCTACAAGGGTTGGGGATAATTGTACCAACATTAAAATTAGCTCAGTTCAGCTTCTTGCACGAAATCTTTCTGGTATTTCTTCCTGTCTATTGAACGACTTTTGTTGTAAACAAAGATGTAAATTCCACACAGTTAAAGAGGCTAAAACAATTAGGTGCATGTTCTTACTGCATTTGAACAGTCAGCTCTGTTTTGTCAGGTCGAGTGGACTGCTCCTCAGACAACATGAACATTGTGATCGATAGATCGTACCTGAACTCTCTGGGCTATGACGGCCACAGTTTGTACCTGGATGATTCACACTGCAGGCCACGGGTTTCCAGTTACCAGGTGGTCTTCAGTTTCCCCCTTAACACTTGCGGCAACATCAGAAAAGTAAGACAACTCACTGAAAACTTTTTTAGAACTTCTAGAAAACAAACAATAAGTGGTGTTTTCTCACTTATCCCTCAGATCACTGCAATGTTTAAGAAGTGCACTGATATTTTTTTACTTGACAGTTTGACAAAGGCAGAATTGTGTACACCAACAACATTCGAGCATTCCCCTCCACACATGGAGAGATTACACGTCAGTCTCACCTGAAGATGAATGTCAGCTGTCTGATGGAGCCAGACTCCGTTTCACAGATTCTGTTTGAAATCAAAGCTGGGGGTAACGGCAGCATCTCTGGTTCTGGCAGATACAACACCAGCATGGCTTTCTACACGTCCAGCAGCTTCTACTATGAAGTACGTTTAGGTGGTAAAGAGTTGAGGAATGAAGATTTCTGTTTGAAACATGTTGCTAAAATTTCCCTTTTGCACCCAGGTTACAGAGTTCCCATATCAGGTAACACTCAACCAGAACTTGTATGTACAAGTGAGCATGAGGCGGAGCGACAGCAGCCTAATCATGTTTCTTGACACCTGCGTGGCATCCCCAACACCGTTTGATTTCCATACCAGAGCTTATTATTTGGTTCGTGATGGGTAAGATATCATTTCTTCTCCCCTATACTGGCAAATTTTACATATGTTACTAAAACGTTTGAGAACTAATTGCACAATTCACCCTCTGTTAAAATGTCCTAATGACATTAAAGCATGGATGGCTTCAAACTTTTTAACTTTCAAATATCAGAAAACTGAAACCTCGACTCACTTGAGCCTTATCTTAGAAGCAGTCCAGCTACGAATCTCGGGATGGTTGTAGACTCTGACTTTAAGTTTAAACATATTAATTCTATTCTAGAAAAAGCTTCTTCCAGTTCAGGCAGATAGCTAAGCTTAAGTTTAAACTTAATCTTGAAAAAATAGCCCATGCGTTCGTTACAACCCAGCTGGACTACTGTATCACACTTTATGTTGGGGTCAATCAGGATTCCCTTTCACGTCTCCAGCTTGCCCAAAATCCTGCAGCTCGGCTATTAACAGGAACTCGTAGGCTTGAGCATTTCACCAGTTTTGTCCTCCCTTCACTGGCTTCCTGTACGTGTCAGAATTGATTTTAACATTCTCCTGTTGGCATTTAAGTACATTAACAGCCTTGCACCCTCACTTCTCTCTGAACTACTGTACTTCAACCTTATGTTCCTTCTCTGGTGCTGAGATCTGATCAGCTGCTTTTGTACCATACCAAAAACCAGGCCGAAGCTCAGAGGCAACTGGGATTTTTCAGTCATTTGCCTTAAACTTTGGAACAATCTGCTCCTCAACATTAGACAGGCCACTTCCACTCCCTTCTTTTAAATCTCTCCTAAAGACACACCTGTTTTCACTAATGTTTAACAGTGTGATTTGATTTGGTATTTTTTTTAAATGATATTTTTAATGCTTTTAATTACAGTACATCTTTTTATTTTTTTTTATTAATGCCTTGATCTTATTGTTAAGCACTTAGGTAAGAGCTGCTGTTTTAAATGTGCTTTATAAATAAATTTGACTTGATTCACCCTCAGATGTCGTGTTGATGACACCTACCGGCCAATCACTACGGGCACCTCATACCTGGCCCGTTTCACGTTTAGAGCCTTCCAGTTCCTGCGAGCCACAGATGCAGTGTACATCCAGTGCAAGGTTCTGATATGCCCCGCCTCGGACAGCAACTCCCGGTGCCGCCGTGGCTGCAGCAGACGTGCAGCCAGAGAGCTGGAGTCAGAACACCACAGCCAAACTCTGGTTGTGGGTCCCATTAAGCTGAAGGGTCAGTAGACACCTGGATCTAGTTATTAGAGCTTTAACAAAACGTGGATGAAAGACAAATGATAGCAAGAAACATTAAAGATTTTTTTTTAATTCTCTTTTGCAGACTCTCAGAAAAAGAAGAAAGAGCCTGAAACGCAGAACAAGTCCTAACTTGAAGCTCCTTTGAACTGCTTTAATCAAATGTCTGCTTTCTTTTGGTTGAGATACTGAATTATAGTCACTATTTCTTTTCTCTGTCTTATCACCTGATTAAACGCATCATAAAAGGACAGTGTGTATGTGTAATTCATGTCAAATGCACAACAGAACAGTTAGAATTACAAATCATGTTTATTCATCTACATAAAAGGGGGGAAAAAAGAAAAAGGCACAGTGAAGTTTAGTTAGAAAACACTTTACTTATAAATTAGTAATCAATTTCACAATAAAATAATTTTCCATCTCAGCTCAGAAAGATGATGATCGCCAAAAGGCTTAAGCATTCAACGTTATCTATGAATCTACGACACATCGAGAAAATAAGGCAGCCTTTACTGAATGTCCCATTACTGATAAGGTCGTTAAGAACAAGGAGGGGCTCCTAAAGTCAACTAAGTCCTCTACACATGTTGCTAAGCAACAGACGACAGTGCCCAAAGACAAACGACAACCTTGCTGAAGTAGCAGTTTGACTGCAAAACAAATTAGCTTTTTTTTTTTTTTTTTGACACGGAACATCTATAAAACCATTCAGATTACAATACTCAGTAAATATTGAAAAACACTGGGGTTCATGAAATAAAAGTCTCAGTCTGAGCTGTTATAAAGGCTGAAACATGGCAACCTCGGGGCTACGTGGCAATCCTGAAAGTCATCACAAGACAGAAACTTAGTGATTCTGCCTCAACAAAGAGGCACTGGATATAAAAATGACTTCATTTAATATTTAAAAAATAAAAGAAAATGAAATGATATAAGTAAAAGGATAAAACCCTTTAATTCTAAAGGAATTATAATTTTATGACAGTAGTGCACTTCATGAAACAAAGAACACAAAGTAGTTGGCACATGCCCAACTGCTGATGCCATCTTTATAAAAGAGCTGGCACTGACTCTGAAATTTCTTTTAGCAGAATCAAACATAATTTTGGCATAAAAAAAAAAAACTATAAAAACATGGCTACCATAGTAAAAGAATGACAGTCAAATGTTTTGGCTAGCTGTTGTGGTAAGAAGATAGTATTTAATAAAACAAAAGAACAGTCATCTCAAGCTAAAACTCACACAAAAGGTGGTAATGTCAGGCACTGTAAAGAAATAATGTACCATCACTAAAATCATTTCAGCAAGGCTTAAGTGGTCAGCTGTTTCACTTTGTATTAACATCTGAGAAATAAATGTCACAGGTGTTGAAAATGTATTTTGTGGTGTTGTCATAGTTGTAAAAATTTATTCATTTTAAAAATGTCATCCTTTGACAGAAATACTGTGTTGACAAACAAACAAAAAATGTGATTAGGCAATTCCCTGGTAACTCTGGAATGCAAAGGTGAGCATTTACCTGATGTACTAACAAGTTTATACAAATTTAGTTAATTTTAGCAACTTCGTGAGCTGCAGATATTTTCCTGTACAATTCCATCACCCTGTTTTCAGGCACCCATAGACGTTGCAACATTATGTTGGATAATTTTTATGGCAATGGCTTTCATGAAAAGTTTCACTGTTTGTAAATTTAACTTGTCTAAAATATATACTGTATGTAACTTTTAAGATTGCTTTAAAAAATAAAACCAAAATAAATAATTCTGATCTAAAATGGTGAATTTACTAATCTAATTAATAATACCTAATTTGTTTATCTATGCCAGGAAGTGGTTCATAAGGTTTATGATAGTTTATGTGATCGCTGCCACCACCATAAATAAATTACCAACCTGTCAATAAAACACTGATCATCCTTTGTCAATACACTGGAATGGGCACTTTTAGTTATAAAAACAAACATACATCTGAACGCAATCCTGTGAAAGTCTAAAAGACTAAGCTACATACAGGCCAAGGTAAAAACCAATAAATAAAATTAATATGCAATAAAAACAAGCAGTCAGTAAAAATTATTCTAAAGAACAAGAAAATCTACTTGTGTTGCCCACGTGCAAAGTGACAAGCAAAGTCGTACTTGCTTTTGCACTTGTGGCCACAAATGTTGCACTGGAAAGGGTTCTCATAGCCATGGCAACCCATGTGGATGGTGTAGAGGATGTTATCAGGGAAGTAGATGTCACAGTGTTGACAGTGATGTAGCATATGTGGGTCTTGAAGTGGAGCGGACTGGCCCGGTGCTGGTGTGCTGGGCTGGCTGTTGGAAATACTGGGAGTGCTGGTGCGCCCGCTATGGTTGCTACACGGCCCATCATCAGGACTGCAGTTACTGTGTGGAGGGGCCCTGGGCTCTGGGGCGATCGGGGAAGAAGAAGCGTGAGCCACGCTGTGTGTTACAGCTACTGGAGCGGTGGCCGGGTGTGGCTGCTGGATGAGAAAGGGCTTTTCGTCCACCACAGACTCTGTTCCTGGAGACAGTGGAGGTCCAGTCTGTGCCTGGGACTCTGATGGGAGGCTAGCCAATTGACCTGCCAGGGTGGACAATTGGTTCAGGGGGTTATCCATCACCATGTCGTGGTGATGGTGATTTTGGTTTGCAGAAAGCGCATCGTCAACAGCTTGACTCTGATTATTGTAGGCTTCCTGACGTAAATGAGGCAGCTCATGGGAGAAGTCATTTACATTGTCAGCCTTATGCACAACCATAGAAGGGGGGCTGAAGTTGATGAGGAGACGTCGACCATAACCCAACGAGTTTGCTTTTTTCTGTAGAACGCTCAGCATCTTTTTATGGGTAAGTGATCGAGCACCTTTCATTGGCAGAAGTTTGTGACGTCTACGTCGATGGTGTGACAAGTTGCTGCGGTCGCTGCAGCGGAAGGAGCACAGCTCGCATTTGTACGGCTTCTCACCTGTGTGTGACCGCATGTGGGCCTCCAGGTGGCGCTCATAGGCTGAGGCAAATGGGCACAGGTGGCAGCGGTGAGGTTTCTCTCCTATTTGTTAGAGGAAGACAGAGCAAATAAGCACAACATGTCAGTGTTTTCCATTAGAATAATGTCTACAATGCAGTAATATCCTCTGCAAGTAACTGAACATTTACCTGTGTGAATACGGATATGTTCAATGAGTCGTGCTGTGCCTCTAGTAGCATAGTTGCAGTAGCGACACTTGAGCTTGCCGTCATAGGTCCTCTCAAAACCATCCACCAAGATCCCTGAGCCGTCCTCCAATGACATGTCCACCGAGGGATGGTCGAGCCCATTTTGGCTGCAGTCTGCAGATAAGATTTATCGAACAAAAACAAAATTAAGCAACAAAAAAATCCAACACTTGTTATAAAGAGGTGAAACGTAGCCTTTTTGAATAATGTGTCTGCCTTTAGCATACTATTTATGTCTGACTTTCCAGATGATAACAAAACATAGCACAGTATCACCAAACCTTTATTCTAAAAAAAAAAGGACCCCAACCTGCTACTGTTTGATTTAAAACAAAAAACACATAGCTAACAGTGAACCAGTCAAAACTTAAATAGTTTTTGTTGACTATTTGAACATCTTTGAAAAACATTTATATACAAACACACAATATTAAACTGAGGTTTGGTTTTAAGAAAAGAAAAGGCATGCACACAAGTTGTATTTGCAATTGTTACTACTAATCTTCATTCAGCCAATTTTATGCCACACAATTGCATTGCAAATATTTAAACAGAAGCTGAGAAACTCAAGCTTTTGTGTCATTGGCAGTACCAGTAGGTGAATTGTCTTAAATGTATTACTGAATTTATCATTGTCCATTATCATAATCCATATGTGTTTTTTTCATGATAGCACACAACTTAAATTGTTTTCATTAGAATTAAATGAAAATGCTTTGAAACATTTGTAAAAATCACTGAATCCAGTGACATATAGCTTCAAGAAATGTATATTTTTGACACAAGCAAACAAGACAAAGATGAATGAAAACAGAACTTTGACCAACAAACTGGGTGATGAACTCTCAGGGTTTCATTATTTATTTCACAAATATAAAAACAAACAAAAAAAAACATGCTGGCAAAGGTAATTGCTTATGCTCTAAATGAAAACAATACTGAAGCTATGCTGTAAATGAGGATTCATCAAGTGAATGACACTAAACTAAACACAGACTTTAGCAGCTTACCTGCTGGCAGCTCGTCCACCTCCTTCACACCGCTGACAGAGCCTGATATCATGTTGACATGTTGCGTCTGCTGGCTTAAATACTCCTGGAAATCCTTAACAAAGTCCAATGTGTCCGGCTTTTCCTCCCCCATTGGAAAAAAGTAATAGTGACGCAAACGTATACTGAAATACATAATTGGACACGAGTGATTAATTAAAGCTAATTTAAAATGTATATCTGCGTCAGTTGTTTTCTTTACACTGTAAGTATACAACACAATCAATCAAGTAACCTAACAGACTTGGAATACAACAAGCGTCAATGTTTGCTAAACTGGTGTTAAAGCTTGATACCAACCTTGATAAATTTTAGTTGGTTGTTTTGAAATGCCGTGGCAAATCAGACACAAAGACTGGATAATCCTGCAAAACGATGACTGACAAGCAGGAAATCGGCGCGATCCAATGTCTGGTCGGTGGCTCCTAGACGCAGCTCCTCATCTTCATCATCATGTTTGTTGCCAAAGCTACGTTCGCTGTGTTAGCTAGCAGGTTGCTAGCATTAGCTCTCATAAAAGAAAGCATCTTTATCAGCGGGAACGTCAAATGTCACCCGACACATCGTTTTTAGCGTTTAAGTAAATAATTTTTGCTGAGACTGCTTAATATCTATGACTTTTCTTCGATTAGCATGCTAACACGAACAAGAAAGGATAACCTGGTAAATAAAAACAATTAACCACTCAATAGGGTTAAAGTTCACTTTGTGTGTGCTGACGAAAAGCATCCGGTGGAAACCAAAACCCAACCGCGACAAAGGTTCCCAACAATAAGGCGTAGTAGAAAACTTACACAGCTACAAGGAAAAACAAACAAACAAAAAACATGTTTATTAAACAGTAATTCAAAAAGGTTCTTCCCCCAGTAGTTTAACAGGAGTCGGACAACTATAAATAATACAGTTCTAGTTTGTAGGGTTTTTTTTACCTCTTCATTTGTGTTGTGGACTTTCATTTTTCTATCACAATTTTAGCAAAATGAATCTCATTTTGCTTGTGTTGTGTTATTTTGGGATACATAGACCAAAGAAATTGTCATGCTAAATAGAAAGTAAACACTTTCTTCAATTAAAAAGTTTTTACACCACAACAGGTAAAAACAAAACAACAACAACAGTAGTCTTGGTCTTAAAACAAGGCCAAATCAGCCCTAAGGTGAATAGCAAACTATGACATACAAAACCGATCACAACCACAATATGCTTGGTTGCATTGATGCCTCTTTAGTTTAAATTAGGCTGGGGCATTTTACATATGGATTTGTATGCCAGCTTTATGATTCTACATTCATGAACATGGGGACTACAAAAGGATACTCTGAACAGGAAAAGTATGCAGAGGAAGTAAAACAATTCTGGATGAAATGTTAATAACATTAGATGAAAAAAGTATTTCTTCAATTTTCAAAAGTACTTTACTGATCATTAGTGCAACCATCCCCATGATGACAAAAATGGCACCAAGATGTGTGTTAACATAGTAGGGTTGCAAGGTTTGCAAAGTAGCATCAGTAAAAAAAAAAAAAAAACGCTACTAGATATACTAAGTCACAATCCACAGCAACACGTTTGGAATGAATGCATAAAAACAGCATTCACACCTCATATTAAGAAGAGAAGAGAACCTTTGGTAAACTAAACAAGGGACGTACAGTCATCATAATTATATTTTTCTCTGTATGTACTTTGTAAATATGTTATGTGCTTTTAATCCTTAACTACACTTCTAATTTATCTGGTGTCATTGTTCTCATAGATGTAAAAACAGCCCTCTTTTTGCCCCCTGGCTAATGAGACTACTGGCTAATGAAACTAACTGATGGCCTGTCATTCACAACTGTGACGTGACACACTTTCAGATGTACGGCTTGTAATTACGCTCAAGTGGCAAATGAAGCACAACAACTGCAATACTTTCAGAAGCTATTGACGCAGTCATTCAAATTTCATCACAATCAATAATTTACAAGTATATGCGCATAGCGGAGATCATGTTGCCCCATTTGTGTCAAACTTGTAGGAAAACCACTGAGGAGAAGATGACAAATGATCAATTAGAGGGAGACCACTATATCCTTTTACTCCTTAACAACTGTTACTGTCAGGGCAGGAATCTTAACAGCAGTAATGTAAAACTGATGATGTCTTAACTTTGAAACATGAGTTGCTCATTTAGACTTGACTTTAAGGTTTATATCCGCAACAAAAAAATGTTTAGTGTAGCTTTGCTTATCGAGGATGTGTGTCAGAAATGAAACACATTTACTATTGTGAAATCTACTTGAAGGCTGAAAGTGGTTTTCCGTCTATGGCTTCATTTATTTGAAGACAGTGGACACCAGATGGCGCCCAGAGATCAGTGCTGGAATAGGTGCTTCTCATGAACAAAGTTATCACAAGCTGGCTAGTGTGCTGCACAAATTCATTGCTCAGGATTACTCTAACTGGAACTGTCACTGTGTATAGACAGGGACTGCTCCATGTGCATGATTCTGGAAGGGACGTGACAAGTCAGCCTCATCAGTAGAGCTGTGGCCACCACATCAGCCCAGTTGCATCACCCTTCGACAGCCTGTCCATGCTAATGTTATTTTATTGCATTTTAATTATGCTCAGGTTTCTGCTAAGGCCTGAGCCTGTTTAATAATTTACAAACAGCCATGATGATTTGTGGGCGGCAAAAGACAAAGTGTGCACACTTTCAGGAGCACTAATTTGTTTCAGTAGTTGTGCTTTTAATTCCTCCTATTGAACCACTAATCTTATCATGTACGTATTTACAAAAAATACCATAAAAAAATTATGTATCATCCAGAGTTTCAAAACAATGCAACATTTGGACTGAAGGAATGATAATTTAGGACAAAAATTAAAATTATAAAAAATTATACTCTGTGAAACTTCATTTTTCATTTATGACATGTTCACTTCCAGATACATTAAGCTGTTCTGCTAAAGGGCAGGCATTCTGCTGATAGGACTGGCACTAGGTTGTACTATTACTGCAGCCAGTGGGACTTTCTACAGTACAGTATATATGTTGGTTCTATTTTTGTCAGCCAGAAATATACACCATGTTTTGAATAGATAACAAATTAAGCACACAAATCATTTAGATTGCTACACGGCAGAACAGTGGTTAGAATTAGTGCCTCTCAGCGAGAAGGTTGCAAGTTTGCCTCCCAGTCTGGGGCCTTTATGGGTGGAGATTGAATTCCCTCCCCCTGCATGCTTGGGTTTTCTCCTTCTACTCCTATTTCCTCCCACGGACCAGAAACATGCATGTTAGGCTAATTAGTAACTCTAACTTATACCTACAGTAGGTGTGAGTGGAAGCGTGAATGTGGTTTGTCTTTATATGTGGCCCTGTGATGGACTTGGGACATGTCCAGGGATGTATCCCGCCTCTCACACAGTGACTGCTGGAGATACCAAGTCCCTGAGACCCAGAAAGGAAAGGCAGGAAAATAAATAAATAATAAATAATGGTTAATAAAGGACCACATCAATACATTTAAAGCCATCAAAGGGAACATAGTGGAAAATAAATTTTCTTTGTGACAGATAATCTAGAAGATCTTTTTCAGGCTTTTTCTTAATGTAGCCTAGTTAGCATGCTTTATAAAATATGTATTTCCAATATCCTTTAGGAATATGAGACATATTCTGTAAACAGGCTCTTGTAACAATACATTATACACATTAGCTGAACATTGAAAAATGGTTAAATCGTGTCATCTGGACTAGTTTCTTTAAGTGAGAAACGTTTCGTTTCCTGTCTACGGCCTGCCTGAGGATTGAGGAAGTCCAGATGACACAATTTAACCTTTTTTTATTGTTATGGATGATTGAGCACAACCCTTTTTTTAAATTAGCTGAACATGTTACACATGTTGAAATATGCAAAACAAACTTATTTATTTATGTTTCTAAGTCTTTAAGGTTCATTCTAGTCTGGAAGCACAATTACTTAAAAATGTTTTTTAAAAAGTTTTGCATATTATGTTTAATTTAAAGTCTTGTTGATAAATTAAAAATAAAGTCAGCCTTAAGTCTTGTTGATAAAGTGCTGGTATTTTATCAAGCTTTATTTAAAAAGTTTTTTTTTTTTATTTATTTTAAACTAAGGATAATTGAGGGCCTGATGGAGATTGTCCAAGGGCCACTTTTGGCCCTCGGGCCTTAAATTGCCCACGTCTGGATTAGAGGGTCTGGCATAGGCCTTAAAGCTTCATAAGACTTATCTAAATGATATGAATTGGAAAATACACATCTTGAAATGAAAAGCAAGCCCAGGGAGAACACCTGTCTGTAAGAAGCTTGCAGTGTTATCCACTTGCTCTGATTCTTGTTTAAAAGGGCCGAATAAAAGAAATCTTCCTTCTCCTCCTAATCGCTTGATTTACAGGCCTTTTGTTGTGCAACGCCACACAGGACAATTAATTTGCTCCTCCTTTCCCTGAAAGAAATTGGAATTTAATTTAAAGAAGGTCTTTAGCTGTTTTGTTGGACTTGGTGTCATTTGTTATGCTTGTGTAAAAGCAAGCATTGGAGATCACCCTTCTGGAAAAGCTTTTTAATCCCGGACAAGTGCAGCCATAGTAACAGCAGACGGGAGCCTCTTGGAAGCAAAAGGGTGAAGGGGAGACTTGGAGGAGATTTATTCTTCTTTGACTGAGACTGTTTCTTTCTTGAGGTCTCCTGCTCCACGTGGAGCATTTGAAAAAAAGACCAGAGAGGTGGGGGTAGAATAGGATAAAGGAGGTATATATTAAGCTTTTCTTTCCTCTCACCACTTAATTTCCTTGCAGGCGCGCCTTACACCGTTGTAATGAATGTAATTGCCGCCTTTGATGAGAATGCTATTATCTGGATCACACTTTACATGGGCAAACAAGACTGGCCCTCCCTCTACCTCCACTGCCTATTTAACTCTGCAGTCAGACCCCCCAATTATGAAGGGAACAAGTGGCTTTTCATAAAACCAGCGTGTCGCTCTTGATTGGTGAGTCTTGGAGGCGGCTACATGTGGACAAAGGATAGATTAGATGTGATATAGGTACACCAAAACCCCATTTCCTTGATTAATTTCCTGCATGCCTCAAAGAAAGGTTACACTCTTTCCTCATTGAATTGTATCTTTTATTTAAAGGCAAACTTTCATCATTTGATTAATGCGGCAACTCAGTGGGTAGACAGACATTTTATTGACCCAAGTTTGACCACAGCTGCCTGGCCTTTAAATGAGAAGATGCAAAAATAGGGAACTGTGACACTTTAGAAAGGCAGATTGGGCTAATTCACTAAACCTTTGTGAAAATACATGTTTTTTTCTGCCTTCTCATAATACTACTCTTTTTTTTTCCCATGCTGATCTTTTTCTGCTTTAATGTCATGACTTTATACACATGTTTACCACGCATTCTCTTTGTCTC